TTCCAGGGGGCCCCAGGAGGTTCAAGAAGGCCCCAGGAGGCCCCCAGAGGCTTCAGGAGGCCCAGGAGGTTCCATGCGTCTCCAGGAATCACCAGGAGGTTCCAGGAGACCCCAGGAGGTCCCAGGAGGTCCCAGGGTCCCCAGTGCCCCAGGAGCCCCCCGGTTAGCGCCCCTTCATCCTCTGCCGCCGCGGGAAGGTGCCCCTCCCTCTTCCTCCTCCTCTTCCCCCTCGCCCCTCCTGCCCTCCCTCTTCCTCCCTCCTTTTCCTCCCTTCTTCCTCATCTTCCCCCTCACCCCTCCCTTTTCCTCCCTCCTCCTCCTCCTCCTCCTTCTCCCCCTCCTCCCTCTCCTCCTCCTCCTCCTCTTCTTCCTCCTCCTCCTTTGCACTCCTCCTGCCCTGGAGGCCCTCCTTTCTCCCAGGAGGCCCTTCGCAGGGGCATGGCACCGCATCCTGGTACCAGCGCCACCTTAGGCGAAGGGCACGCTGTCACTTGGTGTCGACGCCTGGGGGTTGGGGACAAGAATCGAAGAAGGAAAAACGCCATAAACAGAAACTTTTGGCGCTCCGCGCGGATTTCTTGGATCCGCGCTGGGCCCCCCCCGGGCGGCGCTGGCTGGCGCGATCCGCGCGCCAGGGAGGGGGTCCAGGCCAGATCCAAGACATCCGCGCGGAGCGCCAGAAGTTTAAGTATATGGCGTTTTTTCTTCTGTAGGAGGCGGCTGTTTTCTTTGCCGTGGTGGAGGGTTCAACTCCCTCGCGCCATGGGTTCCATGCGCAGGTGAGGCACGTTGCCCTCCTGGGTCCGCGTAGCTTGCCCGCAGTACTAGGGTTGGCGCAGCGGGGCCCGCAGAATGAGGACCTGCATCGTCTCCAGAGGTGGGTGTTTCGTTCACCCCAGCACCACCGAAGGCGGTACACCACCTCGGGGAAGGCGGCCGCAACTGGGCTGGCGCCAAGCTCTTGCCTGATCCCAACGCACCTTACCGTCTTGATGCACCCGTCGGGGACGACTGCCGTTGTCATGTAGCACATGCTCCTACATAATAAGGGGGTTCCCCCTGTATTGATCTCCGTTCTGGTCAATATTCAAAAAGCGTTCGCCGCCGCACCGTCGGCTTTGCTTGGCTGGCGCGGCGTATCCATGTATCTACATCTATCCCCCCAGGCGCCGTCGCACCGATACGTCTGCGCATCTTCTGTCCGTCTATCTGCCCATCCCCCGGGCACCGTCGCACCCTCGGCGCGGCTTGACTGGCGGGGGGCGTCTATCCATTGGTGGCGGCCCATTTCTTCCAGTTACCCAAACGGAGGGGAATGGAAATGCTGCTAAGACCTGCCAAGGTTTACATGGCCGCCTCTTGGGCCTCGAGAATGAATATTTACATTGGGGTTTGATCATTGAGTTTTCAACTTAACATGGCCTCCGATTGTCTAAAACCAATACAGGATGCATCGCGCGCGCGCGCGGGTGACCCGGCCCCGCACGGGTCACCAGCGCGCCCGCGCTCGCCTCGCATATTGTATTGTGTTTTCTATATTTGACGTTGGCATGGCCGCCTCTTGGGCCCAGAGAATGAATATTTACATTGGGTTTTGATCATTGAGTTTTCATTTTAACATGGCCTCCGATTGTATAAAACCAATACAGGAGGCATCGCGCGCGCGCGCGGGTGACCCGGCACCGCGCGGGTCACCAGCGCGCCCGCGCGCCTCGCATATTGTATTGTGTTTTCTATATTTGACGTTAGCATGGCCGCCTCTTGGGCCCAGAGAGTGAATATTTACATTGGGTTTTGATCATTGAGTTTTCAACTTAACATGGCCTCCGATTGTATAAAACCAATACAGGAGGCATCGCGCGCGCGCGGGTGACCCGGCACCGCGCGGGTCACCAGCGCGCCCGCGCGCTTCGCATATTGTATTGGTTTGTATATTTCCCACATTTATATGGCCGCCTCTTGGGCCCAGAGAATGAATTTTTACATTGGGTTTGGACAATTGAGTTTTCACCTTAACATGGCCTCCGATTGTATAAAACCAATACAGGATGCATCGCGCGCGCGCGCGGATGACCCGGCCCCGCGCGGGTCACCAGCGCGCCCGCGCTCGCCTCGCCCATTGTATTGTGTTTTCTATATTTGACGTGGGCATGGCCGCCTCTTGGGCCCAGAGAATGAATATTTACATTGGGTTTTGATCATTGAGTTTTCAACTTAACATGGCCTCCGATTGTATAAAACCAATACAGGAGGCATCGCGCACGCGCGCGGGTGACCCGGCACCGCGCGGGTCACCAGCGCGCCCGCGCGCCTCGCATATTGTATTGTGTTTTCTATATTTGACGTTGGCATGGCCGCCTCTTGGGCCCAGAGAATGAATATTTACATTGGGTTTTGATCATTGAGTTTTCAACTTAACATGGCCTCCGATTGTATAAAACCAATACAGGAGGCATCGCGCGCGCGCGCGGGTGACCCGGCACCGCGCGGGTCACCAGCGCGCCCGCGCGCTTCGCATATTGTATTGGTTTGTATATTTTCCACATTTATATGGCCGCCTCTTGGGCCCAGAGAATGAATTTTTACATTGGGTTTCGACAATTGAGTTTTTACCTTAACATGGCCTTCGATGGAATAAAACCAATACAGGATGCATCGCGCGCGCGGGTGACCCGGCCCCGCGCGGGTCACCAGCGCGCGCGCGCCTCGCATATTGTATTCGTTGTATATATTCCACGCTTATGTGGCAGCCTCTTGGGCCCAGATAGTGAATATTTACATTGGGTTTTGACCATTGAGTTTTGAACTTAACATGGCCTCCGATGGTATAAAACAATTACACGATGCATCGGGAGCCCCGTGACCACGTGGAGCCGTCTTGGGGCGGTCTTGGAGCGTCTTGTACGCACGTTGGGAGCTATATTGAGTCATCGAGGGCTATCTTGAGCGATCTTGGAGGTCACCTTGAGCTCTCTTGGGCCCTCTTGGCGCCATCTTAGGCCATCTTCGGTGACCCAACGACCCGCGAAACGCCCCTTCCAGGCCCAGGGGGAGGGGGTAGGGGGAGGGGTAAACCCCTCCCCCAAGGGGAAGAAGGGGGTTGAGGACAGAGAGGGCTCTTTAAACCACTCACGCCCAAAGGGCTGGTGGGATTTTTATATTGTGTTTTGGCCATTGCGTGCGCTGCAGAGATGTGTGTGCATGGTGAAGGCCACGTTGGCTTTTCTCGGGCCGACGTCTCCATGTTGCGACGACGTCTCAGGCGAAACGGCCCCAAGCGGCCCTGCAAAGGCACCAAGGGTGAAGCAGAATGGCTTCCCCATCCTTCCCACAGTCTATCTTAGGAGTTTTCCGGAAACAAACGAACTGTCTATCTGTCGCGGCCTCGCCGGTCGCTGTCGCACCGTCGGCGAACGTGCTTGGTTACGTACTGTGCATCTGTCTGGCCACCCGCCGTCGCCGTCGCACCGAAAAAATTGCGCGCCACACATGGTTGAACTTCACTGTCCACGGCGCGCCCATCGCACATCGCACAACTTTTTACAATAACTTCTCAATAGTTCCGTGCGGCGGACAGATCGTTTTTTGCGCATCTGTCCCCGACGGACCCGTCGCCGCCGCATCGGGGTGATCATCGTTGGGGGAACCCCCTCATCCTACATATGCTCCTTCCGCCCAGGAGGCCCTCCCTCGCTGGGCCTCGACGGCGGCGGCTGCGGCAAGGGAGGGGCGCGGCGACGGCGACGACGACTGCGTGGGCGGCGGGGGCGATGACGCCGACGGCAATGACGACGACGACGGCGACCGACGGCCGCGGCGACGACGACGGCGACGGCGACCAAGACGGCGGCGACGGGAGTGGCGGCGGCGGCGCCGTTGGCAACGACGACGGTGACGCCCACGACAGCGACGGCAGCGACAGCGGCGACGACGGTGGTTGCGACGCCAACGACAGCAGCAACAACGACGCGGACGGCGAAGACGATGACGACGACGACGACGACGACGACGGCGACGGCGACGACGATTGTGGGGACGACACCGGCGACAGCAACGACGACGGCGACAATGACGGGGACGGCGACCGACGGCGGCGGCAGCGACGACGACGACGACGACGGCGGCGGCGGCAGCGGCGGCGACAGCTGCGGTGGCGACCGCACCGCCGGCAGCGGCACGGCAACGCCAACGACGACAACGACGGCGTTCACGCCGATTACGACGGCGGCGGTGGCGCCGACGACGGCAGCAACAGCGACGCGGACGGCGAAGGAGACGGCGACGACGATTGCGAGGACGACACCGGCGACAGCAACGGCGGCGGCGACGACGACGACGACGACGGGGACGGCGATCGACCGCGGCGGCGGCGACGACGACGATGGCGACGGCGACAATGACGGTGGCGACGGCAGCGGTGGTGATGGCGCCGCCGACGGCGACGGCGGCGGCGGCGACGATGGCGACGACGACGGCAGCAGCGGCGGCGGCGGCGGCGACCCCGACGACGGTGGGAACGACGCCGACAGCGACGACGAGGTTGGCGACGATCACGACGCTGGTCTCTCGCGGGGCCACAATTTTTTCTGGCTCCATGTAGTTTCATTCGCCCTATATGATTTCATACATTTGCTTGAAACCCTTGTTGTTTGTCATTTCGTGTCCTTTCTTCCGGTGTTATGTCTGTGGGGGCCTGGGGCTACATGCACATGGTCGATCCAAGCCCCCTCAATCCATTTCACATGCTATTTGAACGCGCTGAAGCTGCTCTCGGCGAAGGGCGAGTTCGGACCACGGTAGCTGGTCCTCGGGGCGGGGGGGCCTCGTCGCCACGGCTGGGCGCTGCTCGGAAAATCGCTGCGGCTGGACCCAAGAAGGGGTCCAGGGACCGTTTTTGAGCTGCCGTTGTCTCCGCTCGCCTTGCTGCCAGTACTGTGGGCCCTGATCGGCCATTTCAAAATTCCATGTCAATGATCATGCTCAAGCGCTGCTCGTTCCCTCTGCCTTTCCCCTCCCGTCGGGCTCGTTTCCGCCTCTCTTGCCGCGCTCCCAGGTTTCAAGTCTGGCGAGCCTTCTTCGAAACGGGCCGGTCTACGCTTAGCAAGAGCAGTTCGAAGTGTTCTTGGTTTGCTGGGTAGATGCGACCAGCGCAAGCAAACAACAGAGAAAAACACATGCCTCGACTGGTTTGCGACGGTGTTCTCATCATATCATTGGATCGTGCACACCTGGTTTCACATTGCTTGTGATGGTATCCCGAGTGTATTATTGCTTATTGTGTCGATGGTGCCTTGTGGTGTTTTGCCGATCGTGTCTGCATGATGCCATTATTGCTTTTTGATAGTGGTTTGATGGATCCTGATTGTGTGTTCATTGGTTTGCCGCCCTGTCCTGGTGCTGCTGCAATGGTGTCCCGATGGCGCTGTAAGCGTGCCTCGATGTTGATACGGTTCATGCCGGACTTATTTTCGGCATCGGCATTTGATGGAGAGAGGTATTCGATAAGGTCTAGATGTTGTCTTGATTGTGTTACGGCGGATTTGCTATGATGTCTTGATCGCGTTTGGCTCGATTGTGCTCTGATGGTTCGCCACAGGTGCCTTGCTAGTAGTCTGATGGCGTCGTGTATTCCTGAGTTCAACCACCCCAACGCAATTGGTTCATTCATATGCTGCTGTGAGGAATGCCCGTGTACCATCTACGACCTGAACATCTCATCGTAAGCCTTGGATGCTGCTGCAGATTTTCCATCAACTACCAGAAGCACTGCACACAGTAGGATCTGCAGCCTTTACACAAGGGCGCCCTCGAGGGCGCGAAGTTATTCGCGCTTCGCGCTTCGCGGTTCGGCTCTGATTCCTCCTCAGCCTCTTCTTCTCCCTTGGGAGACGGCGCGAGAGCGCGAAGTTATTCGCGCTTCGCGCAGCGCGAAGCGCGAAGTTGGGAGCCCTTGTTTACAGCTGGAGTCAACGCTGAAAACGAAGCACTAGTGGAGCGCGGAATCGGGAATCCTGGTGCGCTGCGCGAGAACATCACATGATGTGCCCGAGCCGTTCCGTCGACCTCCCGAAGCCAGTCTGGCTCAAGTTTGGGATCAGATCGTCTGTCTACGGGCAAGGGCTCCCATGAGGGCGCGAAGTTATTCGCGCTTCGCGCTTCGCGGTCCTCGTTCCTTCTCCCCCTCCTCCTCGTCCTCCTTTTCTCCCTTTGGGGGGGCGGCGCGAGGGCGCGAAGTTATTCGCGCTTCGCGCTTCGCGGAGCGCGAAGCGCGAAGTTGGGAGCCCTTATGTCTACGCTCCGTGCTGCGCACTCCGAGCCAGGACGATGCCGTGGCTCGCCGGTGCCCTTCTACGCGGTGCGCTGGCAGGTCGGAGGGCACCAACTATACACCAACACCGATCCTGGCCAGGATCACCCTGGGCCCAGGATCGGTGTATATGCCTTCTTGCGCAAGGCAGGAGGGCGTATACACCGATCCTGGGCCCAGGGTGATCCTGGCCAGGATCGGTGTTGGTGTATAGTTGGTGCCTTCCTAGCAGGAGCTGTTGCCCATGTGCCACTGGTGGACGCCTCGGGCTGCCCTGCGGCCAACGGCCACGACGAGGCCAGCTTGCTGGCTGTAGGTCCTTCGCTGCATCGCATGTGGCGGCCAGATGGGGCCGGGGATCCGGGGACGCTTGCGCCAGGGAGGGAATCTCGAAGTGACGTCGGGGCGGACCCGTTGTTCGAAAGATCAGTCGCCCAGTCGCAGATGGCCGAAGTGCTATTGGTGGAGCAAGCTGGGTCGGAGCCCAACGTCAGTTTCACTGGCGTCAAGAACAAGGAGACAGGGGAAGCAGTGGGGCCGAATGATTCGTTCGCCATCGGGAGCTGCACGAAGATGTTCACTGCGGTCGCTGTGATGCAGTTGTCGGAGCAGGGGGCGCTGTATCTGAGCTCGCCCGTCACAGACTACATTCCGCTGGAGATCGTAGACAACCTCACCAGTGGGAATGCTCGTGGGTTGGAGATCCGCCACTTGCTTGGCCACTGCTCGGGCATGGGTGACTACCTCAATTGGGGCAACGATAGCACTGTTTTGAAGTTCTACGGCCCATGGCGCGACGGGGCCGAGAACTACACCCCTGCAGACATATTTGAGATCACGCAGCAGAAATCAGCGCCGGCATTCACCCTTCAGACTGCAGGCATTGATACATACGACGATTGCCCCTACGCGGCCTACAGCAATACTGGCTACATCATGCTTGGCGTCATCATCGAACAAGCTTCTGGTCTGAGCTGGGAGGACTACGTGGCATCAGAAATTTTTGCACGCGTAAACATGTCTGCATCGTCATTCCTTACCGATGGGGCCCCATCTGTCACAGGGTACGCCTATGGCGTGTGGGATGGGCCCGTCGGAATGATACCCAGTCTGGCATGGAGCGCTGGCGAGATCGTCTCGACGGCCCGGGACATGGCCTCATTCATGCGAGGCGCCATGGAAGGTGCATTGTTCAAATTCCCAGAGACTCTGCAACTCTGGCTCGACGCACCTCGTCACAAGTTCCAGTATGTGTTCGAGTACGGCTATGGCTTGATGAGAATTGACGTGGGCACGATCGTGCCTGGTGCTGTGGGGGTGTTGGTCGGACACGGGGGACAAACATTTGGCTTCCACAGTGGTGCCTTCTACGACCAAGTCTCTGGAACGGTCTACATCTTGCTGCAGGACGATTCGCAGCTAGACATGCCAACGTTTCGCATCGTGTCGATGTGTGCAGAGAAGTCGCTGTAGGCTCAGCTTGCCGAGCGTGACGTCATGCAACATATTTCATGGGGATGGTCATGTGCGTGCGGGTTTCTCCCTATATGATGTACACATATGTTCATACACACTTTTATTTATTCATATATATACACATATGTGTGTGCGCTACATGTGAATCTGAGATGTGCGTTTCTATATACTATTGTTCACGTATTATACAATAGATGGCATTTGAATTACATCTATACACATATATATATATATATATAATCATACGCACCTCTCCGAGGGACAAGAGCTCAGAGGTGATTAATGCGTACGCGGGGCGCCGCGTTCGCGATTATTCTGGCCGTTTCGCTAAGGACATCCTCGAAATTCTGAAAATCGGTGGCACCCCTCACGCAAATCGTGACGTTAGGGTCCAAACAACACATGCATTTTAACATACAACCTTCAAAAACACATGGTAATTTCGATAAGTTTGACCCCGATTCTCAGATAATGGCGGTTTCGCCTGAAACATCCTCCCAAAATCGAGCCCCGACGTACCCTCTGGTACCCTAGACCCCGCCTCAGAGCCTCCTGGGGGCCTCCTGGAACTTCCTGGGGCCTCCTGGGGCTTTCTGAACCTTCTGGTACCCCAGACCCCGCCTCGGAGCCTCCTGGTGGTCTCCTGAAACCTCCTGGGGCCTCCTGCGGCCTCCTGGAGCCGCTTGGGGCCTCCTGAAGCCTCTTGGGGTCTCCTGGGGCCTCCTGAGGCCGCCTGGGGCCTCCTGGGGCCGCCTGGGGCCTCCAGACTACATGCACACACAGAGACACAAATCGCGCCCAACACATCACACGCTAGACAAACATAACACACACACACAACACCTACAACGCACAAAAAGCACGCACAACACAGAGCACACATCACACACACACACAACACTCACAATCCTGGGGCCTCCTGGCGCCTCTTCCAGTATCCATGTCGGGCCTCCTGAAGTTTCCTGGGGGGCCCTGGTACACACATCGCAAGGTGTGGCAACCCCACTTGCGTTCGAGTGCGATTTCGCTGTTGCATTTCACTCCTGCTTCAAACGCCCCTTCAGTTTTTTACATGCCTGGGCACACACGTGCCACTTGTATGTATATATATATATATATATACATTGAGGTGGCACACGGGGTTCCCCAAAAGGCCTGAAGACGAAGACGCTATTTGAAGACGCTATTGGCCAGGGGCGGTCGAGCGGGTGAAGACGCTAATCGCTTTGAAGACGCAATTGCGCAACCACAGGGTGAAGACGCAAATGCGCTTGAAGACGCAATTCCGTTTGAAGACGCAAATGTGCTTGAAGACGCTATTCCCGGCGAGGATCCCCATTCCCGGGGAATATGACGCTATTCCCGGCGCAGACGCTATTCCCGGCGCAGACGCTATTCCCGGCGCAGACGCTATTCCCGGCGCAGACGCTATTCCCGGCGCAGACGCTATTCCCGCGAAGACGCTATTCCCGGCGAAGACGCTATTCCCAGCGAAGACGCTATTCCCGGCGCAGACGCTATTCCAGGCGAAGACGCTATTCCCGGCGAAGACGCTATTCCCGGCGAAGACGCTATTCCCGGCGAAGACGCTATTCCCGGCGCAGACGCTATTCCCGGCGAAGACGCTATTCCCGGCGAAGACGCTATTCCCGGCGAAGACGCTATTCCCGGCGCAGACGCTATTCCCGGCGCAGACGCTATTCCGGGCGCAGACGCTATTTCTGCCGCGGACAGGCCCATTGGGGGCTCCCCGAAGGCCCCGAAGGCTCCGTCTGCGGCGGGGGGGTCGTTTGGCATGGTGTCGTGCCCACGAGCGCCTTCCCCGGAGGTCCCGTTTGGCATGGTGTCACACACCGAAAACCTGTTTTCGGGAGGTCCCGTTTGGGATGGTGTCGGACCCAGGGGCGCTTCTGGCCCGTGGTCCCGTTTGGCATGGTGTCGGGCCCATGGGCGCCTCTCCCCGAGGTTTGGCATGGTGTCACGGGTCACGCCCCGAAAATTTGGTCCCGGGAGGTCCTGTTTGGCATGGTGTCGGGCCTTCGAAAACCCGCCCCTGGAGGTCCCGTTTGGCATGGTGTCGGGCCCCGTCCGCGGCGGATGGTCTCCCGTGGGGAATCGGGGCCAGATTCTCCACGGGAGACCCCTCGCCGCGGAGGCCCGTTGGGGGGCTCCCCGGCGACCCTCTCCGCTGGGAATAGTTTAGTGATTTTCAGTGTTTTGTTTTTGTGATTTGGGTGATATTTTCATGATTTTCATAGTTTTTTTTGTGATTTTGGGCATAGTTTAGTTTTTTTTTTTTTTTTTTTTTTTTTTTTTTTTTTTTTTTTTTTTCTGATTTTGGTAATATTTTAATGATTTCTAGTGTTTTTTTGTAGTTTCGGCCCGCCGCGGACAGGGTCCGTCGGGGGGCTCCCCGAGAGCTCCGTCCGCGGCGGGTGATCTCCCGTGGGGAATCTGGGCCAGATTCTCCATGGGAGAGCCTCCGCCGCGGACAGGGCCCGTTGGGGGGCTCCCCGAGGGCCCCGTCCGCGGCGGATGGCCTCCCGTGGGGAATCGGGGCCAGATTCTCGACGGGAGACCCCCAGCCGCGGACAGGGTCTGTCGGGTATATTTTAATGATTTTCAGTTTGTTTCGTTGTTTTGGGAATATGTTAGTGATTTTCAGTGTTTTTTTGGTGATTTGGGGGATATTTTAATGATGTCCATAGTTTTTCAATGATTTTGGTTATATGTTAGTGAGTTTCAGTGTTTTTTTTTTTTTTTGTTTTTTTTTTTTTTTGTGTGATTTTGGTTATATTTTAATGAGTTCTGGTGTTTTTTGTAGTTTCGGCCCGCTGCGGACAGGGTCCGTCGGGGGGCCCCCCGAGAGCTCCGCCCGCGGCGGATGGTCTCCCGCGGGGAATCTGGGCCAGATTCTCCATGGAGAGCCTCCGCCGCGGACAGGGCCCGTTGGGGGGCTCCCCGAGGGCTCCGTCCGCTGTGAATGCTCTCCCGTGGGGAATCGGGGCCAGATTCTCCGCGGGAGACCCCCCGCCGCGGACAGGGTCCGTCGGGCATATTTTAATGATTTTTAGTGTTTTTTTGTTGTTTTGGGTATATTTTAATGTTTTTCATTGTTTTTTTTTGTGTATTGGGTGATCTTTTAATGATTACCATAGTTTTCTAGCGATTTTAAATATATATTGGTGATTGTCAATGTTTTTTTTTTTTTTTTTTTTTGTATATATTTTAATCATTTCCCGTGTTCTTTTGTAGTTTTGGGTAGTAATGGTCCCGGGGGTCAGTTTGGCATGATGTCGGGGCTTCGAAAACCCGCCCCGGGAGGTTCCGTTTGGCATGATGTCACGGGTCACACCCCGAAAATTTGGTTCCAGGAGATCCCGTTTGGCATGGTGTCGGGACTCCTAAACCCGCCCCGGGAGATTCCGTTTGGCATGGTGTCGGGCCTTCGAAAACCCGCCCCGGGAGGTTCCGTTTGGCATGGCGTCGAGGCTTCGAAAACCCGCCCCGAGAGATTCCGTTTGGCATGGTGTCACGTGTCACGCCCCGAAAATTTGGCCCCGGGAGGTCCCGTTTCGGCACATGGGTCGCGGCCTTCGAGAAACCGCTCTGCTAGATTCCATGTGGCCCATGGGAACAGGGCCTTCGAAAACCGCCCCGGGAGGTTTGTTTGGCATTGGTGTCACGGGTCACTCCCCGAAAAATTGGTCCTCCAGGAGATCCGTTGCATGGTGTCGGGCCCCCTAGACCCGCCCCGGGAGGTTCCGTTTGGCATGGTGTCGGGCCTTCGAACACCCGCCCCGGGAGGTTCCGTTTGGCATGATGTCACGGGTCGCGCCCCGAAAATTTGGTCCCGGGAGCTCCCGTTTGGCATGGTGTCGGGCCTTCGAAAACTCGCCCCGGGAGGTCCCGTTTGGCATGGGGTCGGGCCCCGTCCGCGGCGGATGTTCTCCCGTGGGGAATCGGGGCCAGATTCTCCACGGGAGACCCCCCGCCGCGGACAGGGTCGGTCGGGCATATTTTAGTGATTTCCAGTGTTTTTTTTTCTTTGTGTTTTGGTAATCTTTTAATGATTGTCCGTTTTTTTTTTTTTTTTTTGTTTTTTTTTTTTTTTTTTTTTTTTTTGTAAGATTTGGGGGATATTCGGCATGATTATCATTTTTTTTTTTTTTAAAAAAAAAAAAAAAAATGATTTTGGGATATTAGTGATTTTCAGTGTTTAATTAATTATGTATATATGATATATAGATATATTATTCTATATATATATGCTATATATATATATATATTATATAGAAAAATTGTGTATATTTTTATGATTTCTAGTGTTTTTTTGTAGTTTCGGCCCGCCGCGGACAGGGTCCGTCGGGGGGCTCCCCGAGAGCTCCGTCCGCGGCGGATGATCTCCCGTTGGGAATCTGGGCCAGATTCTCCATGGGAGAGCCTCCGTTGCGGACAGGGCCCGTTGGGGATCTCCCCGAGGGCCCCGTCCGCGGCGGATGGTCTCCCGTGGGGAATCGGGGCCGGATTCTCGACGGGAGACCCCCCGCCGCGGACAGGGTCCGTCGGGTATATTTTAATGATTTTCAGTGTTTTTTTCGTTGTTTTGGGCATATTTTAGTGATTTTCAATGTTTTTTTCTGTGATTTGGGGGATAGTTTAATGATTTCCATAGTTTTCTAGTGATTTTGTGTATATTTTAGTGATTTTCAATATTTTTTGTGATTTTGGCAATATTTTAATGATTTCTAGTGTTTTTTGTAGTTTCGGCCCGCCGCGGACAGGGTCCGTCGGGGAGCTCCCCGAGAGCTCCGTCCGCGGCGGATGGTCTCCCGTGGGGAATCTGGGCCAGATTCTCCATGGGAGAGCCTCCGCCGCGGACAGGGCCCGTTGGGGGGCTCCCCGAGAGCCCCGTCCGCGGCGGATGGTCTCCCGTGGGGAATCGAGGCCAGATTCTCCACGGGATACCCCCCGCCGCGGACAGGGTCCGTCGGGCG